GGGGGCCGGGCCGTGGGTCTGGGAGGGGAGAAAGGGGTCCGGGTCGGGGGTCCCTGTGGGGAGGATGTGGGGCCAGAGGTCGCTGTGTGCGGGGGTCCCGGGGGTCGCCCCGCGGCCCCGGCGCTGCTGACGGCCCGGCTCAGGAGCGGGTGGCGGAGCTGGAGCGGGAGATCGGGGCGGCGGAGGCGGAGATGGCCCGGTGCCTGCGGGAGTACCCGGCACTGCTGAGGCTGCGGATGGCGCTGGAGGCGGAGATCGCCGCGTACCGGTACGCGAGGGGGGCGCGGGGGGCACGGGGGGCGAGGGGCTTAGCCCGGCCCATTTTTTCCAGGGAGATGCTGGAGAGCGAGGAGCTGCGCCTGGGCGGCCTGGCCCCGCCGTGACCGGACCTCCGGAGCCCCGGTCCCACCACCGGAGCCCGGCCCTGCCGGTACCACTGGACCTCCGGTCCCGGGACCGGATCATGAGCCCCACCACCGGACCCCGGTTCCTCTGCCGGACCCCAGACCCCCGACACGGTTCCCTGGGACCCTCTGGACCTCTGTGGACTCACGGAACCCCGGTCCTTCTACCACCCCCCCGTTCTACGGGTCCCCCGGACTTGTACGTGCCCGCCTGCCCCGGGACCCCCGGGAGGGCAGCGCCCGTGGGGACACACACTCACCAGCCTCTCCGGGGTGGGGGTCCCGGCCCAGACCCGTGCGGAAGCACCTCAATAAAGCCCCGTGGCATCACCCGGAGCCGGCCCGTCTGGAGGGGGGTGGGCGGCACCCCCGGCTGCGCTCCAGGGGTCCGTGGTGGGGTGCGAGGGGCTCGGTGGGGAACGGTTCATGGAGGAGTGTGGGTTCCCTTCTGCCTGGTGCACCCCTCACCCTTGAGCTGGGCACTGCGCAGGGACACTGAGGGGACGCATTGTGGGGCCACAGCTTCGGGGGTGATGGGTGGTCCCTGTTCCCGCACTGTCACCGGCGCTTTGGGGGTCAGGATGGGATCCTTCTCCCCGGGATGTGGGGACGGGGTGTTGCCCCCCAGGACTTGCTCTGTGTGTTGTCCCACCGCAGTCCCCAGAAAGGAGGCAGAGCTGGGAGGGGTTTTTGAGGATTGGGGGAGTTCAGGGAGTCCATGTGTAGCTGGACAGGGCTGTGGGGGCCCTCTATCCCAACTGTCCCCCCAGGCTGGGCTGGAGTACGGCTGAAGCCTCTCCCAGCCATGCAGATGGACCCCAGGGCTGAGTCTTGTGCCCTTGGGAAGCTCTGGGGCCCCAGCACCTCCCTTCCCACACAGACCAGGGTTTGTGGTGGCAAAACCAATCCCAGAGTTTTAATAGGGGCAAAAATCCTTTTCTGAGCTGTAAAGGGATGGGGATTCTGTGGAAAGGAGGTGCCCGTTCTTGGGGACAGCACCCTCAAAACCACTGTTAGTGGTGCACATTGAGGCTCATCCAGGCGCTCCAGGGGCTCCAGGCTGGGGGTGTGTAGGGATCCCGGCAGCTGATTCGCACCCGTCGTGCCCCCTCCTGCACCGGAGTCTCCTCCACACCCTCCACGAACTGCTCAACCTGCAAAGGGGGCAGGGCACGGTACAGGGAGCCCCTCGGGGAGGGGGGCACCAGCACCCCCTGACCCCTGCAACACCAGGGGGAGCAGGGGGACAATTCATCACCTCAAAAAGGGAAGCAGCAGAGTGAGGAGGGGCCGTGGATGCCCAGATGGGGCAGGGTGGGCACAGGGCAGGGTGGGCACAGACCTGTGCAGGGTCCCCCCGGGCAGAGACCCCTCCCCGTTACCTGGGTGCCGTTGTGGAGCTCATACTGTAGATGGTAGAGCAGAGCAAAGTAGGACTTGGGGAGCGGCCAGGAGGCTGGGGGGGCCCAGGCCAGGTGGAGCTGCTGCCCCCGCTGCTGCAGGCTCAGCTCCTGGGGTGGATCAGGACGCACTGTGGACAGAGGGGGCTCAGAACAGCGGCTGAGACCCCCCCAGAGAGCGTCCAGTACTTCTTGGACACCCCCTCCCACCCCACTTCTCCTGCCCTGAGCTCACCAATGTCACGGAGGAAGAAGTGCCTGGAGAGGTTGAGGTAGGAGGTGTCTGAGAGCCCCTCCAGGTGCAGCTGGAGCGGGTGCAGCTCCTCCCCAAAGGGGCAGAACCAGGGGTCAGCCAGGCTGGTGTTGAACTGGCCATGGTCACTGGCCACCGGTACCCATGGCCCCACAGAGCCATCGCTGTGGGGAGGGAGGTGTGAGCATGTCTCAGAGTCTGTGGTGCTGGCGTGGGTTTGGGGGGTCCTGGGGCACCCACCTGCGTGTGAGGCGGGCACGGAAGATGGCAGAGGGAGGCCCAGGCCAGGAGCAGCGGAAGGAGCCGTTGTAGGACTCAGCCTGGCAGGACACATTGATCTTCTCCTCACCTGAGAGGGCCGAGGGGTGGCTGGTCAGGGGCTGCATGAGGCCAGGAGCGGTGCCCCCTCCCTGCACGGCACTCCCCACAGCCCCCCAACCCCACAGCCCCAAAGGCTGGGCACGAGAATCTCCTGGTCCTCAGCTCTGCACCCCCTGCACCCCATCACCCCCGGCTGCCCCAGCCGTGCCCCTCCGTACGGGTGCCGCTGACCACCACGTAGGTGGTGTCCAGCAGGACGGGGCCAGCCCAGCAGCTGTAGTTGCCAGTGGCTGGCAGGTCCAAGCCGAGGATGGTGAGGTTCTGGCCCTCAGGCACCAGTTCGGCCATGGGCTCCTCCTCGCCGTTCAGTGTCCAGTAGATGTGCTGCTCTGAAGTGTCACATCGCACCACCACGTCCTGGTTGAGTTTCCCCACCTGGACTGGAGGTGAGAGGCAGAGCCTGTGGTCAGAGATGGGCAGTGGTGGGGGGCAGATTGTCCCCCAAACCACCATGGGGCTGGGTGCCCCTTGGCCTCACAACCACCCTGTCCCACGGTCCTCACCCTGCTCCTGCACTCTGCGTCTGTCCCCTCACTCCCTCACCCCATACCCACCCCACATCGCCCTCATGCCCATCCTCTAATCCCAGCAGAGCTGTCCTAACCCCTGTCAGAGGGATGTGGGTTTGGGATGCCCCCCACTCCCTCTGCAGTCCCTGCAGCTGCCCCTGTCCCCCCTCCAAGGCCTCCCCTGTGCCCCAGGAGCAGCACTCACACTTCGGGGGGAAGGCAGTCAGGGGTTCTGCAGGCACAAGGAACAGCACCAGTCCCACCAGCACCAGCATCTGCGAAGGGAGCGGGAGGGGAAGGGCAGCTCCAGCTGGACATAACCCAGGAGAGGGGGCCAGCCAGGGCAGAGCCCCCAGCCCTGGGAGCAGGATCCCCCCCCGAGACCCTCCCAACCCTCTCGCTCTGTGCCTACCTCTGCGTGTGTCTCTGGTGGGCTCAGCAGGGCTGGGGGCTGCAGTTTTATACTGGGCTGGACTCTGTGGGGCTGCCCCAAGGTGCAGCCACAGCAGCATCACAATTCTCAGAACTGGAGAATGGGACCCACGCTCGGCCCCCTACTCCCCACCCACCCAGCCCTGGGACTCACCACTGGTACTTCCCGGGCTGGGGGGCACTGGACGCCCTGGTGGGAGGGACAGAGCTGGGCACCTGGGATGGTGTGGGGGGTTCTGGCTGGTCCCAGCTCTCCCAGACGGGTCCTGCCCCACCTGAGGGTCTGCACAGTGCCCTGCTGCGGGGCAGGGGGACCAGTGAGGTCTATCAGCACCTGTGCCGGGGGTCTGGAGAGGGGCAGCTCAGGGCTGGGCCCCTCTGGATGTGCTGCTGTGGGTCCCCAAGGAGAGGGACGGGTTCCCACAGAGGCTCAGGGTGATGCCCCCAGCCCTGCACAGGTTGTCTCACCCTTCCCTCCCCTCTGTGTCCCATGGGATCCTGTGCAGAGATGTAGGGACAGAGATGACCCCAGTCACCAGCTGCCCCTTTGCCACCCCACTGGTGCCAGCCCATGTCGAGGGCACATAGCAGACCCCACCCTGGGGACGGGAGCACTGTACCCTTTCACGTACTTTCTGCAGTTCCTAGAAAGCAAAGGGGAAGTGGGGGCTGTGGGAGGCTGGGGGAGCCCAGCTCTCACCTTTTGAGGCACTGTGGCCAGCACGGGGCAGCGGGACCTCCGGGCCCCTCCCTGAGCACAGCCAAGCCCCTGTGCGTGGGCTGTGGGGTGGGGAGGGGGAGCCAGGACCCCCAGGCCCCTGTGCAGCAGCTCAGCTCTTGGCTGTAGCACTGTAGGGGACCCCGATGGGGGAGGGAGGGATGGGGTGCTTTGCCCGGGGGTGCACCCGTGCCCTGCCCGGTCTGGGGGAAGCAGGCGCTGGCAGCAGGTTCAGGGGACAGCTCGCCCCCACCTCGCCAACCGCAGCTTCCCCTTGGCTTCTGGAGAAGAACCACAACCACCGAGGGGAAATCCTGATGCAAAGGCCAGGGATGCCCTCAGTGCCTCAGCACGGCTGAGACCCCAGCCTGGCACCCGAAACAAGGGTGGGAGGGGAGCGAGGCCTCACAGACAGAAACCATCCCTGGGAGAGGGGAGGAGCAGGGATAGAGCCCACCCCGGCCAGCCCACCCTCTGCAGGAGGGACCCCACCCTGGCTGGAGCCCTCGCTGCAGTCATGGACACCAAACCAGGAGCAAAGGTCACAAAACTTTATAGAGGAGGGACCCGTGCGTGGCCCCTCGGCCCCGGGCGCAGGGGGAGCGGGACAGGCGATGCCTCCGGCCCCGCAGCACCCCCGGGAAAGACGGGGTGAAGGAGCCCAGTGGGGAGGGCCCACACGACTCCCCCGGCCGGGGCCAGCGCTCCCCAATCCACGCTCCGAGGTGCCGGGGCGGTCCCACGGCCGCTGGCCCACGACTGAACCGCGGCGCAGCACCGAGGCAGTGCCAGGCAGTGCCCGCGCCTCCCTGGGACCTGGGACAGCCCCTGCAGCCGCACGGCCCCCCTGGGGCCTCCCCGGGGCTCCCCTGTCCCCCGGGGTCATGGCCAAGCGCAGGCAGCCCCACCGCGGGGCTCCGCTGCTCCGCTTCACTGCAGGACACAGACGTCCCCCTGCTCATTCTCGTGTCCGGCCGCCTCTGCCAGATCCGGCTCTGCCGGCGCGTCCTCCGCTGCCACCACCTTCTCCCGCAGCTCCATCAGCAGGTCCCGGCCCTCGCTGGGCGGCAGGTTGCTCAGGTAGTACTGCGGGGCCAACTCCACCAGCCTGTGAGGACAGGGTGGGGTCAGCCAGCTACAGGAACCCCCTGTAAGGAGCCGTCCCTCCCCGTCCCCTCACATTTGGGGCTGGATCTCCGAGACCACGCGCAGGCAGTTGTCCTGAGAGATGGTGAACTCGTGGTAGAGCACCCAGGGGGGCAGGTGGCGCGGGGGTGGCCGCAGCAGGTACCCGCAGGCGGGGGCCAGGTGCGCCACGTGCTTGTGCGTCAGCATCACGTAGTTGCCGGAGCCGTCGATGTCTCGGGCGACCTGGGAGGGACCGGGAGGGAATGAGGTGGTTGCTGCACCCCCACAGCTCCCCCACAGCTCCCCGCAGCCCCCTGGGCCCACCTTGAGGAAGTACCCGGAGATGAGGGCCCGCTGGATGTTGAGGGCGTTGGCGTCGGAGCCAAAGGCGGGTGGCGAGACCGGGAGCTCGATGCGGCGCATGACCTCGAGCAGCTCGGCGCGCACGGTGCCCGCCAGGCGCAGAGCCTCGGCGCACACCCCGTGCTTCCGGCACCAGCCCTCGTCCCCCGCGTCTGCAGCAGGGACAGAGATGTGGGGACAGGGACGGCACGGCGGGGACAGGACAGTGGTGCTATGGGGATGGGGACAGGTGAGCAGAGAGCCCGCTGGGCTGGGGGCTTGGAGACCATTGAAGCACTGCTGCTCCCCCTGCCTGTGACCCCTTGCCACAGTGGTGACAGGGACTGAGCAGAGGGCACAGCCCCCAGGCTAGAGCTGGGACCCCCCAGATCCTCCCTCAGCCAGGCTGGGCACTGGGAGCGGGTCAGGAATGTAGCTCCAGGACACGTGAGGGGGTGTGGAACACCAGGAGGAGCAGGGGATCCGGGGGACACAAAGGGCTCTGTGGGATGCCCACAGGGGTGCAGGCCCGCACTCACGCTGCTGGAAGGCATTGAAGATGTTGATGAGGGTGAAGTGGTCCCCGCTGGGGTGCAGCAGCGCCCGCCGGCGCAGGGCCACGGCCTCCTCCAGGTGCGTGGACAGGGGCACGAAGCAGGGGGATGCTGCTGGGGGTGGGCAGGGGGGATCACTGCGTGCCCCCAGCACCTCCCTGGCACTGCTGGCTCCTGGGGGCCACCCCATGCCCCACACACGGTACCTGTGAGCATGGCAGCCAGGCTGACCATCTCCTCCACGCAGTCGAACTCGCAGGAGGCGATGAGGGCCTTGGCCAGCTGCGGGTCCAGCGGGAACTCCGACATGATGATCCCCACCTCCGACAGGTTCCCGTCGTCATCCAGGGCTGCCAGGTAGTCCAGGTCCTCCAGCGCTTGCATCAGCGACTCGGGGGCTGGGGTGGGACATCAGGCAGCTTTGCCCACACTGTCCTGCACCTGCCAGGCCCCCAGTCCCTCTCCAGAGGCAACCCAGGCCACAGTGGTGGTCACAGTCACGGTTGTGCCACCGTGGCCCTCTGCTCCAGCCCCCCACACAATGCCCAGCCCTCGTGGGCCCTACCTGGGCGGTCAAGGAAGTCACACTGGCCCATGTCGGCGATGTCCAGGCGCTTCAGCAGCAGCACGAGGCGGCTCAGGCTGGTCTCGCTGACGTGGGGCGCAGGGCTGGGGGGCAGGCGCTGCTCAAAGGCCTCCGAGTAGAGGCGCAGGCAGGTGCCTGCAGGAGAGTGTTGTGATAAGGGTTGTTAGTATGTTACTAGTGTTAGGAACTTCAGTTTAGTTTTGTAGCTATCGGCTTGGGATGCCCCCCCCCCTCCCTCGGCTTTTTCCCCCTTTTCCCCCCCTCTCTCCCCCAGTGTTTCCAAGACTCCTCTGTGAGTTCCCTCCCACGCCTTTGTAGATCTATTCCTGACTGTCAAGCATTTGTAGGAGTCCATGTCTGTTATTTCTTATCTTATTTTGTTTAACCCTGATTTGTAGGAAGTTTCTAAATTTGTTAGCTGTGAAGAATAACTGGTTCTTTCTGAAACTCCCACCCTCCAAAGAAGTCCTGTTAAAAGAAGCAGCCCAGACCCCCAAATCCTTTGTCTCTTCTTGGTGTTCCCTTTGCAAAAATAAACTGTGAAATATAACCCAGAAGAGTCCGCCCTTTTGGCTTCTTTACTTGGTCAATACTTGTGCTCAGAGGGAACTGGCCTGCTCAAATCCTGATCTAAACCCAGACAGCAGCTCTGGTCAAGACCCCTCCTGGCCTTGGGCCGGAGAGAGAAGAAAATCTGTATCTGAGGTAGCCGGAAAACTCTGTCCCGAGTCAGGAGAGAGGCCATGAGGTGGGACAGGGCAGTGGCACAAGCAGGTGGGGACAGGTGCTGGGCCAGGGACTGCTGGCAGTCCTGAGTGGGGGATGCAGGAGCAGGGGTCTCACCTGGGGTCTCACCTGGGGGGCTGCCAGCGGCTCGCTGCATGCGGGACTCGGCCTGGCTCCGGCTGATGGGCCGCAGCACCTGGGACTCGGCGCGGATGCGGGGGTTGTACACCTGCGGGAGGCTGCGAGTGGGACACTGCGGGGCACCCCTGCCACCTCCCCGGGCCAGACCCCTCCTCCCAGCCTGGATCATCACAGCAGGGAGGATCCCACTGCCCCCCAGGGCATCCCACCCGTCCCCTGTCCCACTCACGCTGCGCAGCTCCAGCCCCGAGTCGATGATGAAGCGCACGGTGCCCAGCGAGAAGGACGAGTCCCCGAGCCAGTGGGTGACGATGACACGCCGCTCCCGGCTCTCCTCGGGGGTCTCGTAGAGTCGCTGCACGGCCCGGCCCAGCCCGGGGTGCAGCGGCAGCACCAGCAGCGGGCCCAGCTCCGGGCTCAGCGCCGTGGCCTCCCTCTGGATGGCAGCGCAGCACTCGGAGATCTCCTGGGCAGGGACGAGGGGGCACAGGTGACACCTGCTGACACCCGCAGCGTCCCCATTCCCAGGTCAGGGTGCTGCACCGCACCCTGCGCCCACCTCCTGCTGCAAAGGAGGCCCAGTTCCCCCAGTTTAACCCCAGCTGGCCACGTCATCCCTTGAGCTCCCCACTGAGAGGGACACCCCAA